TTCCCTTCATTGACGCTTCATTTAATTCACTCTTCATTCACACCTAAATCACTTTATTCAACTCAAGTCACGTGACCCACTCTGGATCCTCACTCAATTCACTTTTGACTCGCACATTGGTCCCTTCATTCACTTTTCATTCACACATAAGTCGCTTCATTGATTCCTAATTGAGACTTGAGTCTCTTGAGTCATTTTATTCACTTTATGTAAATTCACTCTTGCTTCACTATATTCATTTTTGTGCACGTTGATTCATTTGTTAGGGAGAAGTTAACAATTGAAAACTTCGGCAGTTTGCCAAAAAAGATGTCCAAAAAGACTACACTAACATACCCCGCCGTGACCGAATAATGGCTACGGTATCTTAGTATGAGAAATGAGACCCATCTTAGTATGAGACATACGACCCATCGACTTGTGTAAGTGATGCTGTACACACTTTTGGAGCTTGTAAGCATAACCATTTTGACTTTAATGGTGAGCGCTTCCATTTTGTGCCCGCACAGCAGTGGGCACAAAAACGACCCGACCCCAAATTTTGAAAAAAAAAAACAATAGATTCTTCCAACGTACTTCTCATTTATTTGGAAGGGCACCCTGAAACCTTCATATTAGTGGAGATTCTTGGACGACATATTCATGGCATGCAACAATTGTGGATACTTTCCGTTTATACGGGATTTTGAAAAACGCTCCGCCCATTGATAACCCTTAACCATAACATTTACAAGACTAGCATTGACTTATTGGACCTCTCTGTCTCAGTTGTGGCATGGTTTACTTACGCGTAGCCATCGGCATCAGCGAAAGTAGAGACGTGCACGACTAGAGCATCGAAAAGCGGTGGGCGTCACGCATCCTGATTCCGGGCAAGCGCAAGCTCGGATCACGTGGTTACACATGAACGCTGTGGCTTGTTTCTTGGCTGCTTAGTTGTCTCCCATTGTTCACTACATTGGCCCCCAGAGAAGAGCGTAGCCATCCAGCGACTTAAAGCGTAGTCAGTAGAGCGGTGCTATAACAGGGCTTGAGATGACTCACATGTACAATTTCCCTGTATGGGCGAGAATGCAGCAGGGCCCGTGGTATCGGACCAATAATTTCTACGAAAGGAGAGGAGTATTTGGTGGAAACCAAAGCCAAACGACGGCACCAGTCTTGAAAATAGAGAGAGGTGGGTTGGTGTCATGCCTTAGCTTCTAGTGGTCTTTGTCCTCAGACATTGTAAGCAAACGGGCTAGTTTTCCACAATCTTTGGCGTACCTGACAACGTCATAAATTGCAGTGTAGTCAGATGAGTTTGGCGTGTAGGGAAGCATAGTGCCCAGCGTACATGATGAATCGCGTCTGTGTACAGTAGAAATAAAGGCAAAAGATCTGTGGTCGTGTGCGTAGTAGTATTTAACGCATGCGTGATAAATGACAGGACTGTATCCCAATTGGTCTATTTCACAGCGGTATACATTGTCGCAATGTCATCGAGAGCGCAATAAATCGTTCAGTGAGGCCATTCGTCTGCGGGTGATATGCAGTCGTCATGTGATGAACGATTCTGCAGTGGACGAGCAAGGCTTGATGCTCGTCAAACAGGAAAACTCGCCCTCTGTCACTCAAAAGTTCACGGGGAGCACCGTGGCGAAGATCAGAGTGGCGTAAGATAAAAACCGAAATTTTTTTGCAGCTTCGGTGGATAGTGCTGCCGTATGCGTAACGCGTGAAACAGACCACGCCGACAATTATCAACATATTTACAGAATTCGAGGGGAGTGGTCCGCAAACGACGATACTAACGTGGTAAAATGGACGTGCAGGACAAGCCTGAGCTTGGAGTGAACCCGTTAGGCGTTGATGCGGCACTTAGCACTGCAGACAGGCAGTACAAGCACGTGCGTACTTGCCCATAAAAATATATTGGAGGCGGAAATGTCGTAGGCCCGTGTGCTCAGATTTGAGTGCACGTTAAAGAACCCCAGGTGGTCGAAATTTCCAGAGCCCTCCCCTACGGCGTCTCTCATAATCACATGCTGGTTTTGGGACGTTTTAACTCCACATATCAATCATCATAAAAATATGCGTGTCGTGCAAGTAGTATCGCTGACGCAGGCGGTTGTAGGTCTTGAGAGTGCTTTGCGGGTCGTTGTCGAAAGCAGCACATATTTCCGTTCACATGTGGCGGGGCATGGCTAGTAGCCACGCACAATTGTCAAACGCGTAATTCTGCCTATAAAGAAGGTCGTCGCAAATAGCGAAATGCATGGCTTGACAGTGGTTAGTTTTTGAGGACGGATTAGCTAATAGATCAGTGAGAAAGTCAATGCGTTTGGAAATCGACGCATCTCTGCGTTGGGGAGACGCTTTAGGTGCCGACCAGTGCGGACGCGCGATAGGTACCGACCAGTGCGGATGCGCCCGCACTCGCGCGAAGACGCGCGAGTGCGGGCGCTCAAGTTCTCAAGGTCGATATCTAGGTCAGGAGCAGCCTGGACGGCACCCGAATGGCCAGCTGTCTGGCGTTCAGTTCCAGATCACGGCTTCCGACCCGGGGAAGACGCTTGCAGTTGCACCGAAAGGCAGCTGGGCTGAGTGAGTGCGCAACGGCGCGGCAGAGGTGATGACAGGTAAGCTACCAGAGCATGATAGAATTACACAGCTATAGCAAGAAAACGGGAAGTGCACAAAATCTAATGAGAGGCTATCAGCCGAGTTAAAGGAAATAAAAAAATATTCACACTAAGCTAACTAGCGCGCAGTCTTCACAGCCAAAGCTTTAGCCAGTTGATGTCACTGTGGCTGGAAACGTGGATGAATGGACAACCACAAAGAAGAAGGCAGTCATGGTAGAACACGTGGAAGCCAACCAAACGACCACGCCAGATATGAAAGAGGAATTGACATGCTCAGCAAGGTAGTAGCCAATCTTAGCGAGCAGATGGGCAGGCTACAATCAAGCGTGGCGGCACTAGAAGAGCATATGACTTTGCGCTTTACAAAGGTCGAAGCATATCTGCACAACACAGCAGTGCCTCCTCATTTACCAAACTCACCTCTTCGGCCACCAATACTAGTGATACCAAACCTGTCGACAGGTGCGGCATCCGGCTCTGGCAGCCCATGTAATAACCATGATGGCAGCGCTACATGAAACATTCCACATCTGGCAATAGAACTGTGGAGGTTACCTTAAAAAAAAACAACGCTGCATCAGTATATCAGGAGCAGCCAAAAAAGCCTCATGCTATATTATTGCAAGAAGCCCTTTTACCGCAAGCAACGCAGCCTGGATTCCGGCCTGTAATAGCGGATACCGAAGGGAGGGGAGTCTGCACCTTCGTATGCAACAAACTAACGCAGGTAACCCAGGACCTCAAGATAGAAGCATGCCGGTTGGAACACGTCATGGTAGAGATCGTGCTGGGTACCACCAACCGTCAGAGCATTTTTAATTCCTGACATATATAGCAGTCCAAAAGAACAAAAGCTAGGGTTCAAGACGGTTCTAAAGAAAGCTGATACTATCGCCGGGGAATGTCCACTCGCCATAGCAGGTGATCTCAACGCCCCTCATCATACATAGGGTTACAAGTACAACACTGGAAAAGAAAATCGACTTTGGCAAAGTGCCAGTGAACTTGATCTCACCCTAATCCCGGACCCCAGCCTACCAACAAGGCTTGGTACATCCTGCTGCAGATATTGCACCCCAGAGCTTACATTTGTTTTTTGCGTTTTAGCCATATTTCCTTCTTATACATCTAATAAATGTTGAGTTTTTTTTTCAACATTTTTTTTCAACATCAAGAAGGCCCAGTGTATGAACCTTGTTGTAGACCTCGGAAGTGACCACTACATTCTTGCCACTACCTTCTCCGTGGAGCGTAAGAAGCAAAGGGCATTCCACTTCACAGACTGGGACAAGTGCAGGAAGTTGAGGATGGAAAGGGAACAAGATGGCCACAGACTAGGCTTGGAGCAGTGGGTCAAACAGATTAAAGAGGACATCAAATCCATCTCCTCAACCATTGCCACAGATTGTCCGGTTGAACGAATGGATAGCCGGCTCGCTCATCTTCTTGAGGCAAAGCAAGCACTACTGAACCGTTGGAAGGGTCAGCGCCTGAACCGAATACTGAGGAAGAAGATAGCCGAGGTAAATAGATCACTCTGGAAACATTGTCGCGCACTATCTAGGTAGCAACGGGACGAAATCTGCCCCTCCGTCGATGGTCAGATGCGCAATGGCAAGACATGGAATATGTTAAAACATCTCCACGAAAACACCACGAAAACATATCAAAAGAATGTTATCGGTCGAGCTTTGCATAAAAAGATAGGGCTCTCTACAGAACAGCAAGTCGTGCAGCGGCTCGTGCACAAGTACCTCCCAATCAAAAGAGGATTAGCACCACCAAGTATACAGTACCGGGGCACGCCCAATCCAGTTCTTGAAGGCGACTTTAACATCGAGCAGATCTGAAGAGCCTTGCATGATCTCAATGGCAGGTCAGCCCCTGGCCCGGACGGTATATCAAACGAGACCCTTCGTAACCTTGATGACGATTAAATTGAGACCCTGAAGGATATGATCAATGCAGCATGAAGAGAAGGCAGAATGCCAGAGCAGTGGAAGCTGGCCAACACGATCCTTATTCTTACGCCAGGAAAGCCCTCTAACTTGGGCAACATGAGGCCAATATCCTTGACATCATGTATCGGCAAGGTTGCAGAACATGCCATACTGCAGAGGATAAACAAGTACTTAGAAGATAACATCTATACACACAATATGGCTGGATTCAGGGCAGGGTTATCCACACAAGACGCAATGAAGCTTATCAAACACCAGGTCATCGTCAACAAAACCAGAGAAGTGAGAGCCATTCTGCGCCTAGATCTAGAAAAAGCGTTTGACAACATCTACCACTCATTCATACTTGAAGCAGTTTTCAAGCTTGGCCTGGGGAAAGCTTTTTATGATTATGTATGGTCCTTTCTTACAGATCGGAAGGCCGTCATGAAGATTGCAGATATTGAGACCACAGCAAATGAACTCGAAGCAAGGGGCACGTCGCAAGGGGCCGTGATTTCATCAATACTGTTCAACATTGCCATGGTTGGACTGTGAAAGAAATTATCGAGCATCGAAGGATCGCAGCCCCACAGCATCTACGCAGATGACATTACCATCTGGTCACAGGGGGAAGTGAAAGACAGAGTGAGAGCGCTCTGCAAGAGGCGATTAACACCGTAGAATAGTAACTTCGTCCTTCTGCGCTGAAGTGCTCCTCGAGCGAATCAGAACTTTTGCTTTATCGGACTGCACGCCGGGGACCGAAGCCCAGGGGATGGAAGCCGTTAAACCAGATAGACATCCATCTCCGTACAAATCAAGGGGATGCCATCCAGAGGGTCGACTCCATCAAAGTCCTGGGAATGCTGATAGAGTCTACCGGCGCCAACAGCAAATCTATAGCCAAGTTAACTCGGAAAACAGACAGTGCGGTGCACCTCATACGCAGAGTGGCGAACAAAAGAAATGGGATCGAGGAAGACAACCTCATCCGCTTGATGCATGCATTTGTTCTAAGCCACTTCACGTACGAGGCAGCAATACCCAACTGGTCTAGAGTAGAGTCCGAGAAACTGAATGTGCTCCTCAGGAAAGTTATCAAGAAGGTCCTGGGCCTACCTATACACACCAGCACTGAGCGTCTACTTGAGCTTAGCATTCACAACACGCCCGAAGAAATAGCAGAAGCCCAAGAGAGAGCACAGTTTGCAAGGTTATCTACAACAAGGTCGGGGGGAATGATCCTGCAGGAGGGGAGCTGAGCCAGCGCGCAATGACGATTAGACTCAAGTACAATGATATCCTCGACACCATCAGGGAGAATATCACGGTATCTCCTATACCACGAAACATGCATCGATAACACAACACCGGAAGAAGAGTAGCGAGGGCCAGGACTATACTTCGTCAAGTCTCAAACGAGGAACGAGGGGTCGTATTTGTTGACGCGGCTTCCTACGCCAATGGGAAAGCTTTTGTAGCAGTGGTGGTCGATGGGGCTGGCCGTGTCGTCAACTCAGCGACGGTCAGGACGAAATACCCAATCATTGCGGAACAGGCAGCCATCGTCTAAGCACTCAAGATGAATAACATTGAAGTAGTCTACAGTGATTGCATGGCAGCACTACAGGCCTTCGCAAAGGGGACGGTCTCAGAACCAACGCCGAGAATATTACATGGCAAGGACATAACGCATAATCTTCTGAGATGGTTCCCAGCTCACCTTGGACAAATCAACAACTCCCTTCCCAATCTCAATGAAGCAGCACATGAGGCGGCGCGAGACCTCCCCAACCGCGCCTCCCCGGGCATGCGTTCTACCGGTGAAGGGGATAACCGGGAAATTCTTACAACACATAACGAGCTCACTAAACATTTCTACCTGTCTACACATTTCTACCTGTATACCTGTCTACAAAGGGCTACAAAGCAATAAAGTCCCAATCTATTGGCAGGGGCCTGTACACTCTGTAAAAAACACATATATTACACATGACCTAGAACTCAGCACAAAAGACTTGGGGCACCTCTTGGTAGAGATCGTAATACCAACAAGGAAGAATCAAAGGAGTAACAGCCTCTTTATTTTTAACGTTTACAGCAACCCTAGACATAAGTCGCTCTTCCGAAAACTGAAAAAAACAACTAAGATCACTAAGTATCAGTCTACTAATTATTGCCGGTGGCTTAAACGCACGACACCACTTATGGGGCTATATTACAACGCAGCCAAAGGGAAGAGATCTGTGGAAACATGCAAACGAACTCGACCTAACGCTAATAACCGACAAAGCATGTCCAACTACAATTGGCAACTCAGTCTGCAGAAACACTTCACCAGACTTGACGTTCACCAAAAACATAGAGAACGTCGAGTAGGTAAATACAGGAATGTAATTCGGGAGCGACCATTATGTACTGTATCTCACCACAAAAGGCGCCTGTGCTAGAACGAAAGAATTCTCGATTGTTGACTGGAACGTGTTTCCCAAATCCAGATCTCAAAGACAAAGCGTTGACACCCCACAAAACCTTAACGAATGGACCAGTCAAATTCAAGATGACATAAAAAAAGCTTCGATGAAAATTATTATTCTGGACATAAATACTGAGGTTATGGACGTCAAACTAGCACACATGATCGAGAAAAAGCAGAATATAACGCAGAATTGGAACAAACGACGATTAAACAAGGTTCTAAGAAAACGGATTGCCAGCCTTAACAAAGATATTTAGCAATATTGCTCATCTAAATCAACAAAAATGGAATGAATTTTGTGAAAGAATTGACGGACAACATCGAAACGGGAAAGCATGGAAATTGGTCAAACATCTTCTTGACAAAGAGAATACTAGACTAATCAAAGACACAACTTTGTAACATATTGCTCTGAAAAGCAAAGACATGGGAACGGTCATGGAAGAACTGATCCAGAAATATTTCCCATTAAACAAGGGTGAAATAAGCAACTGTACAGTTACATACAAAGGTACACCACAGCCAAATTTAGTCAAGCCTTTCACGACTGCTAACGTAAGAAGGGCATTAAATGATTTAAACAGAAGATCCGTCCGAGGTCCAGATGGTGTAACAAACAAAGCACTTTGAAACCTAGATGAGCCCTCGATCAAGCGGCTAACAGAGTTCATCAACGAGGAACCATACTGCGAAGCTTACAGGGAGACAATGAAACGGAATGGCTACAACTCGGAGATAGAGGCACTCCTCAAGGTTCCGTTCTATTTCCAGTACTCTTTAACGCATGCATGATAGGTCTCTCCAGAGCTTTGAATAAGATAAAGAATATTGAACACACTGTTTATGCTGACGGTCTAACCATCTGGTGCTCACACGGAAGCGAAGGTGAAATACAGAATGCATTAGATCAAACCATCAGGACGGTGGATGAATACCCAAAGCCCACGGGGCTAAGATGCTCCTCACAAAAAATCGGAGCTACTATTATACCGGAAAGAAAAGGGGGGAAGACCAACATTTTGGAAACCACTGTCTCAATGCAAGATCATATCATGCAGCACCAATGGAGACGAAATCTCTATAGGGGATGAGATTGGAGCCCTGGGATATTTTATCGACGCTAAACGAGGGAACAACACAGCGCTTAAAAAGACCATGCTCAAAACAGAACGCGTATAAAATAATCAAAATACTTGCAGGAAAACATAGAGGGGTGAAGGAAGACAATCTCCTCCGGCTTGTCAACAGCTTCGTCTTCAGTCATGTCATATATTTAGCGGCAATGTATAACTGGTCGCAAAACCAAGCACAAACGTTGGACGCTGCCACCAGAAAAGTAGTCAAGAAAGCCCTTGGCCTAGCTATGCGCACTAGTACAAGCAGCCTGTTAGATTTGTGTAATCAATATACCCTAACTCAAACAGCGGAAGCACAAATAACGTCACAGCTAATGCGTATTTACTCAACTAAAACAGGCAAAGAAATTCTTGTTAAAATTAAGATCAATATCAAAATAGAAACTCAAAGCTACGTTGAATTACAGGAACAGATTACAAATAATATAGTGGTTGATCTGCTACCTAGAACATGCGATCATGGAAGACAGATGACTCGCGTTAAAGCTTCAGATACAGAGCAAGGAAGGATGTCTGCTTTGTGGATGCTGCAGAGTACAGGGGCCGACCCAGCTACTCTGCAGTCGTAGTAAATCACAAAGGGGACTGCACAAATGCTGCATAAATTAACACCAATAAACCCCAGATCGCAGAGCAAGTAGCGATAGCCATGGCATTGAAGAACAATAATTGCATGGGAATTCATTGTGACTCCAGGCAGGCAATCGCTGCTTTTAGCAGGGAAAGGGCTGCTCCACAGGCGGCCAGAGTGTTCAGTATACAACAAAAAGCATTGATATCAAGTACATTTACTGGTTCCCCGGACACATAGGGAGAATCGAAGGCCTACGAGTCAATCCAAATGATTCGGCCAACAGCGTTGCCCGCGATCTCGCTGACCAGCACGTTTTTACAAATTGCCCCGACACCACTGGATTGATTCCACTACACAAGAATAAACTCATCACGTATAATGAAATCGCTAAACACTTCTATCTGCTAGAAAACTTTATCCGCACCCGCACGCAAACTTGAACTGAGCTCAAGCCATACCAATTGAACACCTAAAAACGAAATCTTACTATTCACTAATTCAAATCAGCGAGTGGCAAGGAGCAGAAGAAACAGAAATTACACGCAAAGCCTGCAATGAAAATGCGTGCACGTTAGACCACAATCTCTGGGACTGCGGTTCACTGGGGCCCGGTATTAAGCGTGAACGCTTCGAAAGGCTCATCAGATCACTAGCTTATGACAATCAAATCTTGGCTGTCCAGTACGCCCCCGACAGGGCCAGGAGGCTCGACCTCCCTGTTCCGTCATGGGAATAGCCAGGTTGACGCATTCGCGTCATGTACAGGATAACAAAAATAAAGTTTTAAAGAAGAAGACTCGTTATTTCAGGAAAAAGCTGCGCTGCAAAGTTGAGAATGAAAAACTGTACTGGTACAGGGAAAGCGCTTTCCCCATGCCAGTCCAGTTTTTCGCCCTCAACTTTGCTGCGCAGCCTTTTCCTGCACTATGTTCCAACTAGCCCCCCCCCCCCCCCCCCCCCACAAGCTTTTCTCATTATTCGCCCGCTCTTTGGGGTCCTCAATATGGGATTCCACTGAATTGGGCTTGTTTGGCTCCTGCCGCCATTGTCTGAACGTTAACTATAGTATTTGGGGTCATTTTTTTCGGCCGCACAACGTGAGGTGTTTATCACTGAGCTGCAACACCCATGAGAGGTCTTCCTCTGCCACTGTTCGCACATAAGCAAAGCGATATTACGACATCGTGACATGAATAGCATGACGTGCCTTCCGATTACACAACAGTGCAAGAAGAGACAAAAGCGAAACGAAGACGAAGGCTGCATTTAACGCAGAAGTTTATTTCCGGAAGTTTATTTATTTATTTATTTATTTATTTATTTATTTATTTATTTATTTATTTATTTATTTATTTCATACTGCCGA